TGTGTGTGTGTGTGTGTGTGAGAGAGAGAGAGACATTTCATGTGTTTGTATGACATGTATGTGATGGTAATTCTCTCTGTTGTTATTATTAGACCATTTTTGTGACCTTTAAAGTCCCGGAAGAATTAGCAAAGGTCAGTGAGGGAGAGAGACTCGAGAAACAAAGGACAAAAGAAGTTAAATGCAACAATAGACATCGAGCTGGAATTAAATTCTTTTTCAATTTACACCCTGTAGTCTGGCTGACACTGGCTGTATTATTCCTGCTTTCTGTTTATTCCTCTAGACTTATCTGATAACAGTTTTTATTCAAAAAGCATTTATTTTATACTTGGACAATTATTACAGTAATGTTTTCTTTCAAAAGTGCTAAAGATTTCATGGCTTTACCTGCTTATTTTTGAAAATATTACAATATTATTTATTTGTTTAATTTTCTTGAGGTCATAGGTATGAAAGTTTTGTACCTTTCATTAGTTTTTAATTTGTTTGTTTAAGTTCAGTTTTCAGACAGGAATTTGTTGCTTCAGTTTAAGGTGACAATATTTTAGTCACTTATGTAGACGTACCAATCCAAAAAGCTCCTCCCAGCTCTATAAAAATAAACAAAATAAAGAATAAAACTGAAGACATTTTCTATACCATAATAACACCATAATAGAAAAACCACTGATTACTACAAAGTTAAAATTAGACAATTAGAGGTAGTTTGGTAAAAGATGTTAAATGTTTGTGACGTAAACTTTTGAAGTGAATGAAAAGAAGGCAAATCAAACAACATCCTGTCTGAAGTACACTGCACACCTGACTCACCGGAGAACATTTAGATTTGATATAATGGCGGTCTTAAAGGTTGAACCAGGCTCTGTTCAGAGCTCTGGTGTAACTCAAGCTGTGCTGCGGTTCAAAGAGAAACCCAAACAAAGCATCTAATGAGGTTGAGGTGTTGCAGCTGTCATACGTCAAAAAGTCAAAGGATCAGCCTGAAGCTTCATCAAGAGGAGCCTGAATAATTTATTAAGACTAATTCCCATGCACACAGATACACATGCATGAACACTGTTTGCATGCGAGTGACCTGAAAAGAACAAACCCAGTTATCCCGTTTACTGTAACAGAATACTGTTCAGGTGCCTCTGCTGTGTGTTGTTGTTTTTTTGCACTCATACCAGCACTCACTCTCCCATGTTTTTGCACTATGCATTCACAGTGATGGTCCCAAGCTCATCTGTGCCAGACATTCTGGACCTCATTTGACCCAGATTCATTTATTTTGGGTTCATCTGACCGTAGAATGCACTGCCAGTTTTCATTAGGCTCTTTTAATGAACTTTGGCAAAGTTTCATGTGGCATTTTTGTGCCATTTGTAAGTAGTTATTTTCCCCTTGGAGCCCTTTATAAAGGTTTCTATCAGTGAACGTCTGTTTTACTGATACATGATTAATAAAAGTGTTTTATTAATCACTTTGTTGAGTGAGTATTTGAAAATGAGAACAAGTAATTTTCAAGGCCTCTGCACTTTCTATAATTAATCAGTATGGCAGCTTATAACATTGTAGTTTCTCAGATGTTCGGGCACTACTTTACAACCTGCCGCCATGTTGACAAATTAAGACCGCTATATTGGTGGAGGTTGTATTAGTCTCTATTTATTTCAATACAGTTTGTCTATTCTGTTTGTTTCTAATTATACATCAGACCCAAAACCTTATAATTCATAATGATATACATAATGATGAGTTCACTGTGAGATGATCTGAATCATTATCATTTTCCATGTATTTAAAGCAAACTCTGAATAAATGAATCTATTTCTCACTCTCTTCATTAGAGTCTACAGGTGACTGCTGATGTCCAACCATAAGGATAAAAACCAGGGCCATGGTCATTTTACAGCAGGTGAAAACACACACACACACACACACACACACACACACACACACACACACACTCCTTTCCAGCTCCAAATCGTTCACTGTTACACTCTACTACAAAAGGTTTGCATGATTTGAACAGCCGGTTCGGTTAGTAGGGCTAAACTGTGCACTTTCGATGAACATACTATGGATACGTGCAATCAGTGACATCAGACAGAAATGAGAGTAAAACATATGAAACAGAGCATTTGGAGTACTCTTAAGCTGGAGCTTTTGGCACAGAGGGACTGGCATGCAAGCTGACCTCATGTGAAGCTTTTGTCATGTTTAACACAAACATTCACCACTGTAACAACATATACTGTATGACACAAAATAATGAAAGAAGAAAGAACAACATCTGAAGCTACAGTGTTCCCACTTTATTTACTCTTTCTTTAAAAAGCATGCACACACTGTAAACAGGGAGACCAGTCAAATCAAACAAGATGCTGTGTGTGTGTGTGTGTGTGTGTACTACTTTTGTATCAACCTCTTTGATACTTAGTTAATGCGCTGCTGAACTTGTCTTCTTTTCTGATCAGCTAATGAGCCCTGACAGCGTTCCCCTGCTGCAGAGGCACAAATGGGGCGAGCCAACAGAACAAGCAAATACATTGAATAATACGCCACCCATCTCTTCTGTGAATGTTTGTCTCGTCAGACACACTCTGACTTTTATCCAGTCTGCAAAGGTGTAACCAAACTAAACAGGAGAGTTGGCATGATTTACTCAGTCAGTGGAATACATTTTTTAGGTTCTTATGTGAGGAGGAAAAACAGACAGTTGGGGGAAATAATTCAGGAGCAGGACATTTTTACTTCGACCGTGGAATAAAGCAACTGTTGAATCTGGAAGACGACATGGAAAAAGGAATTTTTATGTACATATTTTTTTTATTACTCTACTTTGGAAAAGTCCCGATGAGCAGTCGTTTGTCAAATCTGGCTTGAAAAAGTTTTGTCTTTTTTTTAAACATGAAGGATTTTCTGTAGATGAGCAGTATGCAGGTGTTAATGTGGTAACCATGGCAATGAAAATAAACAGGAAGGGATCTGATTGGGCGCTGGAGGGCTGGGATCCAAACATACGCCGCCTCAGCTACAAATGCACCACCCTCATCAAGGTAAACTTCAGGTCCAATTAGGGGATGTTTGAATGATTGTCATTTATAAACACAAATTGCTGTGTGTTTTAGTTTATGCCGAGTTATCACCTGCTGCTAGAAAAATAAGAGGTTTTGAGTCTTTTCTTTAAAAGTTTAAGAGGGAACGTTGTGATCAGGTCACATGGTGACCTATAAAGCCCTGAGTTGGGTCAGTAGTCCAAGTGAGAGTCGGTGCACATGACCTGAGACAACGGCATCATTGCTTAAAAACATACACATAGAAGATCACTCCTATTACACTTTATGTACATATCAAATAAATCTCTCTGACATTTCTCATAGTTTATTTTATCCTTTCTACATAGTACAAAATGCTCTTGTAGGATTTTGGCTTTTTTGTTTGGCTTCTTTCACCCCAACCTGTGTTTATTTACGTTAAATAGCTCTAATTAATTAATGGTCTACTTCTAAATATCAGCTGGAGCACATGTTACACCAACTGAAGCGTGATTTCATTAAATAAATACATTTAACATTATTTGTCCACTGTACTGTTATGGTGATCTGCGATTAATCATTTTTATTTCCTTAAAAAATTGTTCCGTCCATGCCCAAACCTTCGATGACAGTGTTTCAAGACCTTCAGGTATCTCTTAAGAGTCTTATGTGAAACGATCCATTTATCTAGCATATGTTTGCTGATTTCAGGATAAATTTTCACTTTGAAGCACCATCACATTAACACCAAGGAGAATCTGTGTTCTGTGTTCAATCAGTCATCACCTGCTGAGGAATCACCATCCCACCTTCTTTGTCTATGACCTCCTTTGTCCCCTTGTTTCCCCATACCTCACTGCACGTCCTCCATCCTGAAGCTTCACAGTTTAAGGGAGGTGTTGGGGAGTGAGGTGCTCAGTTCTCAGATGTTTAAACGAATCAATCCTCAGACGAAAACTACTTGCTCCGGGGCCTAAGACCAGGCTATTGATTTGTGAAGCCACAAAGAGCCTCTTTGAATTGCTCTCAACGATGCTCTTCAGTTCATAGACTGTGGGAAACTCTGGGGTCTGTGAAGATGGCTGTCTTGTGATGTCAGATCAGCAGGCACACATCCATTATTTGTGGTTGGCTGCACACAGTGGGCGTGGCCATGGGCTGAAGAATTATTTTTTAAAAACCCATTTATGTCCATATAATACTATCCATCCAAAAAGATTATAAACTATTAGATATGAGACTATATTATAATTATGTTGTGTTTTAATAATGTTATGTAATTCTGTTATAGTTCTCTGTTTCTGGTGAAAGTAGTAACATCCATCAACCTCCTAAATGTTTACGGGAGCATCAAACAGACGCCAGTAGTTGTGATAGACTATAATTCAGAGATATCTGCTCTTTACCAAACACGCCTGCTTGAGTTGTGAGACAGAGGTGTAGTAAAACTTTCATGCAGAGCAGCAGAGGGCAGACCACAACCTGCACACAGACACTGTTGTGGTGAAATGATACTTACAGACTCTGGAGAGAGCTTGCATAACTTCTAGGGAACCATTTTCACAGAAAGGGTAACAAGACACCTAAAGCTGCAAGTATATCTCCAAGCAGGCCTCTAAAACTGGGTCTTAAGAATGCCAGTTTGATCAGAGTGGCTGTGTAAAAACACTCACTTGATGTGATAAAATGCTAATATGTGGTACGTGAAACATTAAACAGTTCAGCTTAGAGGCATAGCCAGAGCCCACCTGATGAGCACGATGCATTAACCATCTAGACAAGATCAAAAATGGAGTTAAAAGACGAATGATAAATGACTTAAATTTGCCAAAGAAATATTAGCTTTTATGGCATTCTTCAAAAGAAGTGGTGTCCCTCTGAAAACAACCTGAAGCATACCATATCCACAGCTTCTCAGCTGTAGACAATGAACGGTTGATCCCAGGCAACTCACAGTCTCTTGCACTGTCACTGCAAGGCCAGTAGGAGGTGCAAAGGTGCAAGACATTAAACAATTTAAATTTTGTAAAATTATTTTTTGTTAAGTTTCCAATCACATATTAATATTAAGCACTTCCTTCACAAGTACAAATAAAAAACCTGGAATTCGGAATCTAAGCTCCCCCTTTTTTGTCCTGTCTCTGCAGGAAATCAAAGTTTAATCATTCAGCTGCCCACAGGTGGCAACAACAAGCTTGTCCTCCATTTCTGATTGTCCGTGGCACCTGGAGAATCCACAGTGTGTGGGAGAATATGAGTCTCTGTGTGCTCGCTGCAGAGGGCTTTTATTTGTTCATTGATGCAAAAAGAAGAGCCTGTTTATGATTTTATGGCACAATTAGCATATCACCATATCTCATCCTGTGACCTTTGATTTGTCACTCCAATCTAAATGCAAATTAGCTGTAAATGCATTTGTTGCTTGTATATTCACTTAATAACTGTCTCGTCCGCCTTTGTCTTAAATTATTGGATTATTCAGGATTTCTGCAATGATCCGAATGTCTCTTTAGGTTGGTTTATTCCCATATAATCAAAATGTGAGGAGGCTTGTTTAGCTGTATCGGCAGTGTGTGGTTTTCGTGTGTAAGTTTTCTTACCCCACAGGAAGAGTGTCCTAGGTTTGGGGCCCTTCGTCACTATGTAGGTTATCGTTTATAGGAGCTCTGGTTTCTCCTTCTGTTGACATCATGCCAGGTTAATGCTGCAAATATCGACCAGGAAATTCTCACAAAATATATTCTAATTCCTAAAAGTTCCCCTAATGGTTAAATAAGGTTTTAAAGAAACACACTCAGTGGCTTCTTTAGTTACATATTGCCAGCATTGATTTGACTCCATCCTACCTTTAGAACTGTTTTAATAACATAGACCAGTAGCTGGAAACCTTCTTCAGAGATTTTGGTGTATTTTGACATGACAGCATCGCACAGTTGCTGCATGTTTGTCAGCTGCACGTCCACGATGTGAGTCTCCCATTCCACCACCTCCCAAAAGGCGCTCTACTGGACTGAGATCTGGTGACAGCGTTGACAATTTGAGTAACGTAACCTGCAGCTACAGTTTCAGACTAACTGGTACTAAAATGTTCAAAAACTCCAGCAGAGGGCAGACTCACCTGAAGAAGAGGTTCAGACGGACGCTGTGCAGTCTGCAGTGGTGAGATGATACTCACACACTCTGGAAACAGTTTGTGTAACTTGAAGTGAACCTTCGAAAGTAACAAGACGCATAACAGTTACAGTTGTGACTTAGCCGGAGCCTTTAGACTAAGAATCTCATTGACAAGAGATTTTGTGACATTAATTTGTTGATCAGACACATTTTCAAATAACAGATATCAAAGCTACTTAATGCTTGCTGCCCTAAAAGTCAAGGAAAATTCTATTGTGAGAAGAACCCCATGTTATGCATCATGTCAGTCAATAAATGACGGGATAAAATGACATCTTGTGGTTTAGAGGATAAAGTGTGACAGGAGTCAGCATCCTCGGGCAGGGTTTTCTTTATTGTTTGCATTTTTATTCAAGGAAAAGACTAAATGTGGGTTACTTACCAAAAGCATTGTTACAAAGTCACTTACAAAATTTAAACCCCATTAAAAGAACGGGGAGCAGAATGACGTACAGTTATAGTTTATCATTTGAAACAGGAATAACTGTTTTCATACAGGTAGTATGTGGGGACACCGTGGTTCATAGTTGACATCCAGAGGACTCTATCTGCATTTTGTTACCTTTCCACACAGGAGACACCTGCATAGCAGCTGCAAGTGAGTACCTGGCTCATGTCAGGCCTGAATTATTTACCTGATGAAAGAGGTGATGACACACACCCATCCACCGCAGGCAGCATGGACATTACATCAGTGTGGCTCGTCTCAGTCACGTTTGTCCAAAGAATGAGACGTCAGGGCGTATGTGCTTTTCATGAGTCTGTGTTCTGTATCAGTGAAGTTGTAGTTTACTCTACAGTCTCATGTAAACTGGAAAAAGTACAGAACTGGCAGGACATAATGCGCTGCTGTGTCTGCAGACGAGACCCATTTGGCAAAACATATTTTTCATGTTTGTGTAGAAGCTCAAGTTTGACAACAGTTTGAGTCTTTAAATCATCTTTGAAGACAAGTACTAATAATTTACATGTTTTGCTTGAATTAATGTTATTTCTTATGATGGCCAGACAACCACATATGGAAAAGAAATAGAAAAAACTTATAAAGACTTGCATCAGATGTGGCCGACTTCATATAGTGAATCATATAAGGCTTATATGATTCACTCATGAAAGTGGCCACTTTCATATATTTTTTTAGTAAGTATTCAAAACATACAAGTTTCATTTCAATAATTTTTCAAAGAATCTTATATCTGTTTTCACTCTTGTATGCTTTCATACAAGTTTCCCACAAGACAGATACAAACTTTATAAGATTTATATATAACTTTTCCATGTGGGACTGCCTGATTCTAACTTCTCCTCAACTGAAAAAGCACAGAAAAGATGCTCTCTATAAATATAATGGTTTCTTCTAAACCTGCAGACCTCCTTAAAGCACCTTAAATCAAGTTATTTTGCTAATTTTCTGCTCTGAGTTTTTATTTTTTGACTCTTCTAAAGTAGCTTTGCATGATTCACAGTTCAAAATAATAATTTCTATGCATTTTTAAGGCTCTCAGTTTATTCTGTCTGAAACAAGCTTCCCTCCTTCTCCCTTTAAGACAGTTTTGTTCTGACTGGTTGCTTCTTGTAAACAGAAGCTTTGAGTGGGGTGTCAGTGTGAAAACTTGAAAACTGTATGTCTGAGATTACTACAGTATTAACACTGTGCAGAATGAAGTGTGTGGCTCACAGAGTTTTATATCCTGGTTGGTCACACGAGCTTCCCGGTGCTGTTCAGTGGGTCATGTCCCCATTTGCTGTCTGGTTAGTTGACCTGGGGGCTTCATTGATCTCTGAATGACTTCTATATAAAGCTGTTAATGTGAGACTGGGGGTTGCCATGGGGGGAATACTGCCCT